GGAGGTGTATGTAGCATAGATGTGTAATGTAGCCGCGTAGGAGGTGTATGTAGCGTAGAGGAGTATCATGTAGCGTAGAGGAGGTGTATGTAGCGTAGAAGAGGTGTAATGTAGCGTAGAGGATTTGTTATGTAGCGTAGAAAGAGGGTATGTAGCATAGAGGTGTATGTAGCGTAAGAGGTACATGAGCGTAAGAGGAGGTGTATGCTAGGCCCCATAGAGGATGTTAAAAAAAAAATGTAAAGCGGTAGAGGGAGGTGTATGTAGCATAGCAGGTGTATGTAGCGTAGAGGAGTATGCTAGCGTAGAGGAGGTATATGTAGCGTAGAGGAGGTGTATGTAGCGTAGTGAGGAGGCTGTATGTATCGTACGAGGCGTGTAATGTTAGCATAGACGGATGTTGTAGTAGTGTAGAGAGTGTATGTAGTGTAGAGGAGGTGCTATGTATGCGTAGAGGAAGGTGTATGTAGCATAGAGGAGGCTTATGTAGTGTAGAGGAGGTGATTACTGTAGCGAATGTAGTAGGATGGTTTATGTAGCAGTAAGATGATGGAGGGTGAAGGTATGTAGCGTAGAGGAGGTATATGTAGCGTAGAGGAGGGTATGTAGCCGTAGAGGAGGTGTATGTAGCGTAGAGGAGGTATATTGTAGTCATAGAGGATGTGTATGTAGCGTAGAGGAGGTGTATGTAGTGTAGAGGAGGTGTATGTAGCATAGAGGAGGTGTATGTAGGCATAGAGAGGTGTATGTAGCCGTAGAGGAGGTAATATGTAGCGTAGAGGAGGTGTATGTAGCTAGAGGAGGTGTATGTAGAATAGAGGAGTATATGTAAGCGTAGAGAGAGTGTGTGAGTGTACGTGGTAGAGGTGTATTGTTAGAGGATGGTGTATGTGTGTAGAGGAGGTGTATGAGTGTAGAGGAGTATATGTAGCGTAGAGGAGGTGTATGTAGCGGAGATATGGTATCATGTAGCATAGAGAAGGTGTATGGTTAGTGCTAGAAGAGTGTATGATGTAGGCGTAGAGGAGGTGTATGCTAGGCGTAGAGGTGTATGTAGCGTAGAGGAGGTGTTATGTACCGTAGCAGGAGGTGTATGTAGCGTTAGAGGAGTGTATGTAGCATAGGACTGTGTATGTAGCTTAGAAGGAGCGCTGGATGTAGCGTTAGAGGAGGTGCTGTAGCGAGAGGCAGGTGTATGTAGCGTAGAGAGGTATATGATACCGTCATAGAGGAGATATATTGCATAGAGAGGTGTATGTACATGGAGGAGGTGTATGTACCGTAGAGGAGGTGTATGTAGGCGTAGAGGAGATATATGCTAGCATAGAGGAGGCTGTATGCTACATATGAGCGGGTGTATGTATAGCATAGAGGTGTATGTAGCGCATAGTAGGAGCGTGGTTATGTAGCATAGAGGGAGTGTATGTAGTGTGAGAGAGGTGTACTGCTAGCATAGAGGAGGTGTATGTAGTGTAGAGAGGTAATATGTTAGTGTAGAGGAGGTGTATGTAGTGGTAAGGAGTGTAACTGTAGTGTAGGAGAGGCTGGAGCTAGCATAGAGCGAGTGTATGTGTGTAGAGAAGGTTATGTAGTATAGGGGAGGTATATGTAGCATAGAGACGGTTATGTAAGCCATAGAGGAGGTGTATGTAGGTAGAGGAGGTGTAATGTAGTGTAGAGAATGGTGTATGTAGCCCTATAGAGGAGTAGTGTAATGTAGTGTAGAGAAGGTGTATGTAGTGTAGGGAGGTATATGTAGCCATAGAGGAGGTGTTATGTAGCATAACGAGGAGGTCGTATGTATCGTAGAGGAGGTGTATGTATCGTAGAGGAGGGTGTTGCACCAGACTACCTGTAATACTCGGACTACGTGCATTGTAACTATCACGCTCTAGAAGTGCTATAATCATAATGTCTGTGGTGATCTTCTCTGATTTCTTGCTGTTGACTTCTTAGACACACTTTACCAGGGTCTCAACCATTCTCATTCTGCGGCAATCATTACCGATTTCTAGGCTTAATTTCCGCATTCTGCCAGCGGCAAGCGTTATATTCCTCATTTCAAGTCTCACTGTCACAAATTGCACTGATTGTTCGCGATTGTTCGCTTGGACACATTTTTTTCTTTCAGGCATTTTTGTATCTGGCATCGTCTACGGTAATGGAACATGCCTCATACGCTGTCTGGCAAGCGTGTCGCGATAAGTTTTTGTCTGCTAATTCAGGAACAGGGTTTTAGGGTTTGAGTCTAGGTTGAGATAGTGTGATCATACTGAGAATATGGCCCACAGTATGCCTCAGATTGCAGGAAAATGGCTTAAATATTTCAAAATTTTCTGGGGGGCATGCGCCACGACCACCCCCTAGCACGCCATCGCCTTACGGACACCGGGCACTGCCAGTGCGCAGCCAAGGCTAGCATTTCGCCCCCCCCCCCTGTTCATCATTTTGTAATACGCCTAGCTGCTTTTTCAATCTGCAGCCTCGGCGGCGCCTTTTGATCTCGAATTCGCTGCCTCTATTTAGAACATACCCGAAGCGCCGCTCTGGTAGCTACAGAAGAGCCTGCAGAACATAAGTATAGAGTTGTAGAGCGATTGCAGATGCTTTCAGACTTTTGCCCGAGGGCGAGAATAAAATCCAAATGCTTTGTTGGTTTTGTTGGTGTTGTGGCTCGGCAGCGCGTCCTTTTCGTGTTAGGAAAAATAATTTTCCCCTTTTCGCTGTGTCATGCCCTGACATTGACTTTGGAAGTTATCGCGGGACCAGATAGATGGCGGCAACGCAGTCGCCATCTACGTACCATTTTTCAAGTTAACAAAAAAAAAAACGCTTGGCTCGATGCACTAGACTGCGCGCCGGTCACGAGTTTCGACACCGCTAGGGTAACTCACTTCAAGTGTAGCCAACGCTATGGCTGAGTACAGGGTCGGTAGCCGCCTCTCGCCCTTCAATCGTCATTACCGCTCCGACTTCCCCGTATCCATCTTAACGCACCAAGCTGATGTCGATGTTTGCCATTACTGATTATCACGATGTTATCTGGATTCTGGAAAAGCTCCGCCTTCGTGCGCGTCAGCGGTGGCGTGCGTCGTGGCGAGAAATCGTCAGTCCTCTGTGTGATTTGCGCGTTGACACAGAGTTCTCTTACGAACAGAGACGTCTATTTTTCAATAAGAAGTCAGAGTTAGTCAACACTGCTTCTCTCAAATAGAACAAAGAATGCGAAAGCTGTTGAGTGAGTATATTGTTTTGAAATCGTTTGAGAGGTACGTACCAGCATTTTTGCATAATATCAATCCGTCCAGCGTGCCTGCTTATAGCAAAACTTCGTCTACCCCTGCGGTGAGGGGGGGGCCCTGATTTGCTCTTGTGCAAGAAAAACTTCCAGAAACTGGAACTCGCCTGCTCGCACTTTACCTTGACGGTGCAACCCCTATATATAACCAGCTGCGCAGCTCCATCCATAGCTCAGCTACACGCAAACGAACGTCAATACACCGTAGATTTCTAACCCTAGCAATACCGGTTTCTTGACGCTAGTCGAATCTATGATCTTGCGCAGTGCAAGCTGTTGATCTTGGCAGTGCGAACCTGCAGTCATACACTGATATGTACGCAGTCTTGTCGGGCTATTTACATTACTGATCGAATATCATAGTGACGCGGAAGTATGTACTTGCAGTAGTTGTAGTGTAGGCACTTGCTGTATACTGATGCCATTAGACGTCATATAGGCTAAGGCTAGTAACTAGTAAGTGTACTGTTTTGGACCGTAAATGTAACCCACTAATTAGCAACATAATTCATAAGGGCTCATGTAATACAGAAATGAATAAAACCTGAGGCTGAGTGTTTCCGAATCTCTATTTATACTAACAGGCTTATTTTTACTGGCCTATACCTAGTCGCTAACATATAATACGATATATGCATGTTGTGTTTGTGCGCGTTTTTAATGCATGTATTGCCTGAGCGTGTTCTCGGCTTAGTTAGTAGCCTCGATGGGTAATCGAGGTGGAGCGAGTCCCAGTCTATATAGCCTTTGTCCTTGCAGGCCATTTCCATTACTGGGCAAGGTTCGCGGAACGGGCGAGAATTTTCGTCATCCTTTCTGCTGATTTGCGTCACACAGCTGGTTACGAAGAGAGAAATTATGTTTTTATAACAAGTCAACACTGTTTACGGTCCCAAAATGTCTACCGTCTGTGTCCCCACTAAAAGTTGCGGACTGTTTTCGCTGGCAGGTAATGGATTCCGTGCGGCGGCATTCATTCGGCGAGCGATCCATAGCGTGAGCGCGGCTGCCCTTACTCGTCCGTAGGAACGTTTCCGGGTCCGCGTGCGCCTTGCGCGGAATTGCCGCGCAAGATCTGGCGCTTATAGCGCTTGGGATCACACCGTCGCTATTCGCAACGCTTCTTCTGGTATCCCGCTCATCCTGGATTGCTGATCACCGTTGGACTATTCCGCATTTGGAGTTCACAGGGTTGGAGACCCCTGTTTACCTACCTCAACTATTTGTATCCACTCTACATCACTATGGACTTCTCCTTTCTGCCGCTCTCTCTCCAACCTTCTCTCCCTCCCCTCTTGTTCTAGCTCTCTCCTCTCTCGTCTTCTCTCTCTCTCTCTTCTCTCCACACCTCTCAAGATCTATTTGTTGTATGCTCCCAGGTGTAACTCTACACACACCCTACCTACTCTCGCACCTCTCTCCTCTCTCTCTCTCTTCTCTCTCTCTCTTCTGCTCTCTTCGTCTCTCTCTCCCTCTCTCTCTCTCTCTCTCTCTCTCGTCATCTCCATCTCAGATCTCCATCTCCATCTCCATCTCTCGTCTCATCTCTCCATCTCCATCTCCATCTCCATCTCCATCTCCATCTCTCTCTCCATCTCATCTCTCTAGATCTATCTGTTGTCTGTTCACAAGTGTGACTCTACACGCACCCTACCTATCTCCACCATTCTCCACATCTCTCTTATATGTTGTCTGCACACAGGTGCGCTACGTGACAAACCTCGTGCGTAAGGACGTGCTGCGCACCGACCGCACGCACGCGTTCTACGCTGGTGCCGATGACAACAAGAACACGACTGCACTGTTCAACGTGCTGACGACGTACGCGTACGCTCACCCGGCCGTCTCCTACTGCCAGGGCATGAGCGACATCGCGTCGCCGCTGCTCGTCACCATGCGAGACGAGGCGTGCGCATACGTCTGCTTCTGCGGGCTCATGCAGCGTCTGCGGCCGCACTTCCAGCTTGACGGCGCCGCGATGACGCTCAAGTTCCAGCACCTGAGTGAGCTGCTGCACCGCTGCGACCCGCCGTTCTTCGCCTACCTGCGCGCGCAGGGCGCCGACGACCTGCTCTTCTGCTACCGCTGGCTGCTACTCGAGCTGAAGCGCGAGTTTGCGTTCGACGACGCGCTCTACATGCTTGAGGTGATGTGGAGCACGCTGCCGCCGGCACCCCCTGACGGCGAGATTGCGCTCGCTGATGCCGGCTTTGAGGCGGCGCACGCGGCGGCGGCGGTGGCGGCGTGCGGCGTGAAGGAGAACGCGTACACGCGGCTGCGCGCGATCCGCCGCCAGACGTCGCTGTGCGGTAGCCCCGTTGTGAAGGACGCGCCGCTCACCGCGCTCTCGCCCGACGCGTGCTGCCTGCAAGGGGGCACCGGCGACGGCGGCGACGACGCGCCGAGCCCGGACGACACGGGTGCGCTGGAGTACCGCAGCCTCACGAACGCGATGACGCGGCAGCTGCGCACGGAGCTGTCCTCGTTGAACCGCGCCATCGCCACGGACGAACGAGTCGACGTCGAGTCGTCAGCGTCGTCCGCGGGCGGCTGCGACGACGCCGACGCCTGCTACGCGCGCGACGCCGCCGCCGTCTGCGACGACGCCGACGCCTGCTATGCGCGCGACGCCGCCGCCGTCGCCGCCACCGTGCTGCCGTCACCAGAGGGCGCCGCCGCCGCAGGCGACATCATCGTACATCACCGGAAGGACAGCGACGTTGGAGCGGACGACGGCTCGCCAACCACGGCGCGTCTCGCGTTTGCGACGCTGAAGGTTCGTATCGAGCGAGACGGCGTGTGTCTCACCGAGGAGACGGCGCCGCCACATGGGGGCGCCACTATCGACCAGCCGGCGCTGCCACACGGCGTCGCCATCGTCGACCAGCCGGCGCTGCCACATGGGGGCGCCACCGTTGAGCTGTCGGCACAGGATAGCGTTGAGACGGAGGGTAACGACAACGATGTCGCATCGCTGCCTGAGCATTACGAGTACCTGACTGGAGGCGCCACCGGAGACGTGTCGGACTGTGACGAGCGCGAGACGAGCGTTGACTCGGACATCGCCGTGCTGCCGCTGCCCGCGACCGCCGCGACGTGGGGCAGCGACGGTGGTGCCCCGGCAATCGACGTCGCAAACTCGGGTTGCTGGGAGTCGGCGAGCGACGGCGGTGGCAGCAGCATCGCCGTGCTGTCGCTGCCCGGCAGCCAGGCGGCAAGCATCACGCGCGACACCCACGACTCACCCTCGCCGCAGCCTCCTCCTCCGCCGCCACCGGCAACCTCCAACCTCCTCCGGCCGTCCTCCCTCAGCAACCTGAAGCGTTTCTTCTCCGACCGGCTACAGGAGATGGTATCCCCGAGCCGGCCAGACCCCCCGGAATTGATGAACGGTGGTGGCAGCGGCGGCGTCGCCGGTGGGAGCGACACACCGCTGTCACCAGCATCCTGCGTGTCAGCTCGCACCGAGATGGGCGTGTCAGCGAACAGCTACGAGTCGTGGAGCGTCGTCGCGGAGGCAGATGCCGGCGAGGACATGGAGTTTGCATCGGTGGCTGGGCCGCGCGCGCTGCCGCCGCCGCACGAGTTTGGCGTCGGCAATCCGTTCCTGATGTTCCTGTGCCTGACGCTGCTGCTGCAGCATCGCGACTACATCTTGCGCAACCGGCTCGACTACAACGAGATCGCGATGACGTTCGATCGCATGGTGCGCAGCCACGACGTGCACCGCGTGCTCCACCAGGGCCGCGCCATGTACGCAGAGTACTTGCAACGCTGGCAGACAAGCACCACGGCCGGCGGCGAGGACATGGGAGACACGGGGGAGGTCGTTGACCTGAGCGTGTGAGCGAGCGATTGACGGAGAACATACACAGCTCGCAGGGATTGGGGCGGGAGCAGGAGAGATCACAGACCTGAGCAGGAGATGTCACAGACCTGCCCAGGAGAGGTCACAGACCTGCCCAGGAGAGGTCACAGACCTGAGCAGGAGAGATCACAGGAGCGTGGCCGCGATGGAATAGTGGAGAACAGATGCAGACAGGGAACATATTTTCTTATCGCTAGTCTTTCGGCTTATATAACGTTTTGAGAGGCACGTTTCGGTGTTAGTTCGATGTGCACTCCCTACATTTATGAACTGGATGGTAGAAGGGCATTGCAATTGAATTGCATAGCGACTTCTCCCTCATGTATGCTCGCCTGTTATGTTGGAATATAGATCTGCGGCACGTTTTGGTCTTCATTTTCAGTTCAGGTAAAATTCCATTAGCAGTCTCTGTCAATTATTGCCTAGGACAGTAGTTTTCATAGTTGTGGTGTCGAGTCAGAGTAAATAAACCAAAGCATTGTAAGAGAGATCGAGTTATTGATATTACCTAAGTGAAAGGGCCAATTTAGTAGTTTCAAATCCTTTCAGTATGGAAACGGTGTGTAATTAATTTGCCAACAATGAGCTTTTGTAAATGAATATTTTAGGATACTGTTAGGGTTGGGAGGTGATTTTCGGTCGAAATTTCAATATCTACTTTATTTGATAGATCGCACCCATGGGCAGCTATATATACATAGAAATTATGTATGTAGCCTACCAAACAGTTCTAAATCCCCGCATTAGTTAATTCTTAACACAGGCGTTCAATCATGGGAAATTTAGAAAAGTGCTAATATCTCCACTGTTAGAAATGCTGAAGTTGCTGATTTTTCAAACGATATTTCTCGAAACTTACAACTCTGATTCCAAAAATTGTTGTTACGTTTCTATGCTAACATATCAAAGAAAAAAAGGCAAAATTTTATTTGATAAGTTATGGCTTTGTTTACGAAATTGTAGCATTTTGAAAATCACTACAAATTTTTGTACATTTTTTCAACTTATTTCCTAAATTAAAGCATTAAAACAAAATTCCAGTGAACCTTTTTTAGTTCATATTATGAACAACTTATGGTTAAAAGTTTAGGTCCCAACTCTGCTGTTTCTGTGAAATAACAAAAAAAAACGTTTTTTTTGTGTATAAATTCACAATTTTTGCCGTAAGCATGTATTTAAAAAAAAATGTCGAGAGCATAGGGAGACATCTCTCTTATGTAATGGATATGCGTTTGATTGAATTTGATGAGCAGTTATGTTGCAATGCCCTTTACAGTGTTACCCGTCCATAACCCTAACAGTATCCTTAAAAACAGCATGAAATTTTCCTTCTAGTCATTTACTGACAACAAAGTTTAGCTGGTGAGCAAGGTTTGAACCCGGTCCATACCTTACTTGATTTGAAAAGTTAGAAAGTGTAGATAAAAATTAGAAACACCCCTTTTGCTTTAAGCTGAATTCAAGCTAAATTTTGACAATCAAAATTTAAACTGGGGAAGATAATAAGACTATATTTGTAGTTTATGCATTTTCAGTCTGCTATTCAGTGGTAGCTGTACAGGGGTGGGTGGCTAGTGCATTTTTTATTTCTTATGGATAGGTTCACCCGCAATTACAGTTGCCAGCATTTCTATATTGCACAATGTATTTTGCGTCATTTGTAAAATATTCATAGTATATATATATATTACACTGTATGTGTGCGTGTGTGCGTGCGTGCGTCGCTGTGCGTACATGTGCGTTTCTTATAACGTGTTATGTCGCTACGGCAGATCTGCTAGTCACAATATGAAACATTCCATCGCAATTGCAAAAAGTTACGTTATGTGTGTGTAGTGTGTGTGGTACGCTTGGTTCAGTATTATATATGGTATTCAGCATTGCATATGGGAACAGTCACACGTTGTGAGGAAAGGAAGAAGGCACGCAGTTAATTTCATACGTCGTTTCTGCATCTTGCTGGTCATCTCAATTTCAGGATCTTGTAGCTTTATAAATATTTATTATTTCCTCACTTTATTTTTGTACACAACCAACAGCTTCGTGTTAGAATCAGGGGGTTAATAATAATAATAATAATGAATCTATTGTTATTCACTCCTGTTAGAATGAATGGCAAGTTGATCACATACTTTGCACACCTTTGCTGCGGGATAACCATTCTTTTAGTGCCGCCCATTGGAAGTTGGGTCATTGCAATCTCCAACTCCACGTGTGGGCAAAGGTACTGACTGTACTGTACTGTACTGTACTGTACTGACTATAATTGTATACAACGTTTCTCGGAACAAGCTCTTCTGATTTTAAGACTACATTTATTTTATGATAAACCTGTTTACCTAACCTGTTACCAACAGTTTCGACAGCCGACCTATCTGTCAAGATATACTACTCACTGTACATCAACACCAGGGCTGCCAACATTGGGTGATAGGTGAGAGTGAGATGCGAGGGAGTGAAGCGACCGAGGGGGGGGGGTGTGCGTGGAGGGGGGGTTTTCCCCCTTCCACGGTAGGAGCTTTTTGCATTTTATAAACTTCAATTTGTGCAATTTGGTTCATACTAAAAGTGACTGTTTTCAGATATTGTACGATTTTTTTTGCTGTGCGTGAGATATTTCAGCGTTTTATTCATGAAGAGAGATATTCATGCGTGAGATATCTTAGCATTTTTTTGCTGTGCGTGAGATATTGTAAGATCACCATGAGAGCGTGAGATTTGGTCAAAATGCGTGAGTCTCACGGTCAATGCGTGAGAGTTGGCAGCCCTGCAACACTGTGCGGCTTCTGGTGTAGGTTCGTCTCACGTCCTGCTAATGCGACACGTGTAACAGGCTGGTTTACTCTAAGCTAAACAGGCGTGGTTGGTTGATGTCGCGTTGTCGTGCGGGTTTTTTATGGGGTGGGGGTATTTGTTTCGTGCAGCTGGACACGTGGTTGTGTGACAGCATCTTGCTCTGTTGCTTACTTCATGGCCATGTATATACATGCGCTTTCATATCCCAGCTGGGGCTATGCACATGTTCATGTGTTTAGTAGCAATGCCCAAACACGTGCAGGTGTTTAATGGAAATGCCTAAACACGTGCATGTGTTCAACGGAAATGCCCAAACACGTGCATGTGTTCAATGGAAATGTCTGAACACGTGCATGTGTTCAATGGAAATGTCTGAACACGTGACGATGTGTTTAACGGAAATGTCTGAACACATGACGATGTGTTTGGCAGCAGGGTCTGTACGTGTTCACGTGTATATGAGTAACTTCTTAACACTTCCTGAGCACGTTTGTTTCCCAGCTAAGGCTACACACGTACATGTGTTCAACAGTTGGGGCTGTGCACACTAGCATGTGTTCTAGCAGCAGCAAATAGGCATGTGTTGGTTTGTGGATGGAGAAGTTGCACCAGCATTTTCTATTCTGCTAGTAGGGTTTTAAAGTCAGTAATTTTGCGAGTACTTCTAAAGAGTTTATACAAGTGGCCGAGTTGGAAACAGGTCCCCATGGCCATAAATAGTGACATTAGCCAGGGAATGCCTATAGTCTGCAATTTACATCTTAGAAAGTTACAGTTGACGTGTTAATGTTTTAATAACCCGACACATGCGTCCCCCTGTAAGTATGAAATGATTGCCAGTATACAATAGAAGATGAGTGAACGTGCGACTTCTCCCTCTCTAACAGTAGAAACTGCACATGCGTACATAGACTATGAACAGCAGGGGGCTGCACGCACTGTCGTGTGATACAATGGCTGTGATTTAGCGGGATTGGTGTATAAAATATCCAGCTACCAAGTGTGTATATGGTCTTCGTCGCCTCGCCAGTTATTACTTTATATCAGCCGGGTGAAAGAATACGCGAGATGCAATCTACATGTCTTCGCATTCCTTCTCCACCTGCGTCGAAAGCTAGTCATCGGTGATGGCGGTGTGTATATTATTTTATTTATCGCTACAGTAAAGAGAACGTTTCAAGGTCATTTGTCGTTTTTTGGTTGTCTATGTCAATTGGTGAGCGAACGCGGGGATTGCGTCCCCTCTTACTGCGACACTCGCTCTTTCTAGAGGTATTACCGAGTGGGAAGCACGCCTACCGAGATTCGATAGGATGCTTGAGTTCACATAATTTCTCAGGTTCAGCGTGGAGATCAATTTAGCCCCCCGAAATCCGGATAGGTTTATAAAGGCCGGGAAACTGAGAGAGAAATCACGGACGTCGAACGAGGACGATTGAGTCGGAACGAAAATATCTATTAAATAAGGATTTCCCGAGAATGACGTGGAATTGAATCTGGGAACATCAGACACATGCAGTACCCATCCTTCGATTACTGCCGAACACTAGTCAAAACCCGTTCCACGAGCTTTCCGGTTTCGCACGACACGGTAATGGTGGTTTGTTGCTAATGTGAGGCATCTAACCCTCAACTGTGCACAGCTGTGTGACATCTGTGGGAGGAGAGGAATGAGGGAGGCACGTGGGCCCTGTTAACGTGAACATGCAGGCTTGCAGACATAAGCCTTATTAAATTGTCAAAACTGCGATTGCATACATATTCCTAGTTTCACTCCTACTCTCCGCTAAAAAGCACCTGTCACTCGTAGAGCATTCTAACCCACTCGCCTGCTATCGCACGCACGCATGATAATAACATAATAAGCAGCAGGCACAAGGTGCGAGTGGAAAGAATCTGCATATAAAATTTGATAGTAACATTATGCATTGGATTATGGCAAACCTCGTTTGAATGACAGCATATAATGGAGGGACCTAGTTGAAATGTCTCGCATGACATCCATTGGCTAGCTTTTAGTTTCACTGCCGGACAGGGTCAAACCGGTGTCGACACAACCGTAAAGGATTCCAAACTTCAACTGTTGATATATGGATCAGGGTAATATTTACTATACAGCTCTGCACACGTTACAGCAATGTACAGGCATGCCTTCAGATGTAAGCAAGATGGGCAGAAACGAAAATCTAGTCTACCTGACGGATCTAACATTTGGTATTCACCGTCAGGATATCACTACAATGAAAAAATCATCGTATACAATGTCATTGCAAAAAAAAAAAAAAATCAAGAATTCTACACAGTCACAAGCTTCAGCAGAACGAAAATAACATGTTGAAGGAGCGATATCGTACGCGCGTATGTGTGCATGTGACGAATAATAGTTGCTTTTCCATAGAGGCAATCACTGTTGCAATGTGAGAAACGTCAGTCTTGACATGGTCTGCTTTATGATGTAACCAAACGAACAAACTGCTAGTAAAATATGTAGTAGCTATCATGTTAGTTTACACAAGCACGACCCTGACCATGAGCTGGAGCTAGAGTCCAATGGTCTGAGCGAGGTCACTCTACTATGAAAGTTGCAAACATAATATTAACCAATTTTTATTCTAATCTACGTGTCGCAGCGAGTAACGACTGATGTGAGCTAACCTGTCTGCACAGCATACGGCTGCACAAGTGAACTTCACGCGTGAAAACATTGCATCAACGCACGCACGTACCCTCGCAACACTGCATCTGCACAATTTCGGTATCTGTAAACGCACTCGAGTTTATATTCATAGACTCAGTCTTACATCGGACACACAATAAATATACATGACCGCCCTCGGTTAAACGAGGAGAGAGGGGAGGGCGTTATCTCTACGACTGGAGGCAGCGGATTTGGCATTAAACTTTACTCTGATCCATGGCAGTGTTCAGCGAGTGATTCCGGTACATGCCGCATTTCCCTAGGTGCTGCAAACGAAATCGAATCAGTTTTAGAACGCGATACGGGGCTGCGCGGGCGGCCGATGGACACGAAGTAGGCTAAGCGCCCTAACTTAGGCATTGCTCACCTGCACTGTTGGACATAGCCGCCCCTCCCCCACATAGACGACTGCAATAAATTGAGCAGAACTGGCTAAATTCTTTATGGATTTTTTTCTACAGGTTTGTTTATATAGTTGTAGTTATATAGTTATATCATAGCTTTAGAAGTCGAAACTGGCTGGCCGAGTTTTTAGCCTAATATATCCAAGAGTGTTACCTCGGTGAATTTCTGAGACTTGGCATTGAAGGTTGTCGGCATTGTGTGTACACTCGGCGGGCGTGATCCATACTCTCTCGCGCTCGTGCGGTACATGGGGTGCGCGGACCCTAGCCCGTAACCTTGGAACCAACCTGACAACACAGTGGCACTGCACGTAGAACACAGAGCGTATGTGGCACACGTAATTTATTATTCAATTCACAGTTCCTCTCTCAGGGATCAAAGACTTTGTCTTTTTACGCCAGTCTAAAGAAATATATGTGCGGCAATGATGTATGTGTTTGGCATGAAAGATCTGGGAACATCCAGCAACAGGTTGAACTTAGTTCATTGTAGAGCCGACAAGAGACATGTCAGATGCAACGCCCGAATCAGCGACGCTGAGAGATCGTGGAATATTGTTACGATCTCCTTCTTCCTCACTCTCATTTGTTCCCTCATCCCCGATCATATGCACGGAGCTTTTACTAGAATCATCTGACACCACCTCCTCCTCCTCCGCCTCCTCCTCCTCTTCTTCTTCTTCTTCTGTACTACTCTCGTCTTCATCTTCAGTGCTAAGCTCTTCTTCTTCTTCCGTGCTACTCTCGTCCTCCCATTCACTACTAGCATTGGAATCTAGTTGAATCTTCTCCATAAGAAGTGGATAAAACTGTTGCGCTTCTTTATGAGAAGGTTCTTCTCTAAGTATTTCACTACAGAGCGTGAGAGCATTGGCATAGTCATGCTCCATTATAGTGGTAATAAAGCGTGAGAGTAACTCTATAGAGGCACGCCTTCCACCTGAAAGGCAAACAAAGCAACGATCCATTACGACAAGTACAAGCCCTCTGCATGAACATACTCTCATATTAGCACTTTATATATCATTTAATATGTTAACCGTACAAGTATGCATATTTCAGACAGCTTAATTGCATGTACATGTCAGAGGGCCAGTCTTGTCTTAGGATGTTACTTTGTTTTATCACCTTGTCTTAGACCAATCTATCTTGACAAAGAAATACTATATGAACTATTATTAATTGCTGTACTATGCCTAAAACATCATATCGCTCTAAAATATAACGCTTGATATTGCTACCAGCATTTAGCTGCTAATAAGGCTATAGTATGTCAATATAATGCTGGGTATAACATTTACAGTGACAGCTAACAAGTGGCACATTTCAAAATTGCTTGGTTTGTCATTGCTGTTTCTAGGTGCCACTAGTATATTACCAGTATGTCTGGAAATAACTGCATGCAATAAGTAGGCAATGCCCGCATTTGCTCTTATTGTTGAATGTACAGAATACTTGTATTTATAGTGTAGCCAACATAACGTCAGCAAATTATTAGCCTCACTTTTCAACTCCTTTGTCATTGATTTAACAGCTGCATAAGGTAAATTTTACAGCATGACAAACTCATGGCATAGGCTTGGCACAGGCCAGGTGACCGCTTTACAAATACCAGAAGTCACACACACAGCAATGTTCCGTTAAATATAATGATTTAAAACTAGGCACTTGGCATCCCCATGGCCCTTGCATTCCCATCCCTAGCTGCGAATATGAGCAAAAAGTAGCTACGTTTATGTACATCCAGTCTAAACACAAACAATATTAAAGGCTCACAATGTGCATCCAAACGCTAATTTCTCCAGTACTAGACTAGCAAATACTTCGTGGCATGCCTAATCACACTACCTTATGACAAAATAAACTCTAGTTCCTCCCATTTCACTGCGCGTTGTCTTATAAAAGGTATTTTGAAAATACCTCCAATGTTGTTGAAATTCTCCGATGTTGTTTACAGTTTCCCCAATCCCAAAGCAACCGTGCAGCGGTGCTGCGGTACAGCGGTATGGGCGCAGCAAAGATAAAAACATGTGACGTCACGTGACCACTTCGAGGCTATGTTGTTTGGCAAACAGTCGGCGTTTGCGCCAGAATGCCAGTTTTCTCACCTCTTTCTTGTGGGTTTTAAGCAAATGCGCAGTGAAATGGGAGCAACTAGAGTTTATTTTGTCATAAGGTAGTGTGATTATTCATGACACGAAGTATTTGCTAGTCTAGTACTGCAGAAATTAGCGTTTGGATGCGCATTGTGAGCCTTTAAACTTACTTGGATTGTCAAAGCGTTTAGGAATATTCTGTGTTCTGTAAAAGTCACTAGTTTTACTTTTTGAAGATGGTGAACCTTTGCTGTCAGATTCTTGATTGTCTCCCTAAAAGTGAAATATATTTTACTTACCAGTTTATTTTTAACATTACTATTTAGTCATTCTGATTTATTAATAATTAACATTTGATTTTGGAAAAATTGCATTGCCACATTACAACTGCAGACAGATGCAGACAAGCCTGTCTGTGGCAGTGGAAACAAGGGCTATATAATGACTAATTCCTTGAGCTACCCGGTATACGTATAATCATATCTAGCTCTAGAACTATTATAGCCCTACGCTCCGCCGCAGCCCTGCGGCGGAGCGGAGGGCTATAGTTCTAGAGCTAAATCATATCGTGAGTGAGCAGTAGCAAAACTCACGAGCAATAGACTGCTAATAGCTGCAATTTGCAAAGCAAGCATTACCATGGCAGCCACCCGGCCTGTAGCCTGTACTGTAGTGTAGGCTTAATTACATTGCCACTGTCACTGACGCTCATAGGGTCTATGTCCCCCAGGGTACTATCGCCAGTATCAGAGGGTACCCTGGGTACGGTTCGATATATCGGAACGTACCCTGGTAGCTATCTGATATGGTTAGGGTTAGGGTTAGGGTTAGGGAGTAGGCGTGCGTAGGCGACTCCCTAGACTCGTCAGTGGAGTAGGCGAGGTACGGTCCGGCATATTATTACTATTAGATAGTACCAGAGTACGTTCCGATATATCGAACCGCACCCGTGATCCAGGGTACCCTCCGATACAACCCTGGGGGACATAGACCCGCTCTGCCACTCTGGCTCTCCGCGTCACTGACACTGACTCACTCTCAGTGACTGTCTCCATTTCCACTGAACAATTATGATTTATTTTGTATTCCTAAATCTAGGCATCTGCCACCTCATCGGCTAACGGGGAATTCTATGACGTAGGCCTCCCGCACGCGAATGATAAATTAATAATGACTAGATTAGGCCTATGTAATCATGTAACATGTTGTTACTTGTATTGTAAGTAGGCTATGTTACCTTAGCTCTAGTACTATAGCCCGCGGATCGCTGCCGCAGGGCTATAGCACATTCTGCCATAGATGTACCTAATCTAAGCAAATGGTCCAACTGATGTGACCAAAAATTTATCCCCAAAACGTAAAATGATCGGGCTTTTTAACACTTATCTATCAACATGGACATCTCACCTATCTTTTTGAACACTTCCACAACTTTACACCAGGTATTTATGCTGTTATTCCTCAAAGTCTTAGCACTGAAGAGTCATGCGTGCACACATAAGCAGAGCAACCGCATTTGAAAACAAAACACCAGTAGTGCTAAGACTTTGAGGAATAACAGCATAAATACCTGGTGTAAAGTTGTGGAAGTGTTCAAAAAGATAGGTCAGATGTCCATGTTGATAGATAAGTGTTAAAAAGCCCGCGATCATTTTACGTTTTGGGGATAAATTTTTGGTCACATCAGTTGGACCATTTGCTTAGATTACATCTATGGCAGAATGTGCTATAGCCCTGCGGCAGCGATCCGCGGGCTATAGTACTAGAGCTAATGTTACTTTAGCCACAAGTTCCCATCTCGCTTAACACTACGTGGCGATCTACGTACACTACGTACACTACGTACACTAATCCTCCTCCGCCGTGTAACTAGTCGGAGAGCCTGGTCGGTTTAATGTTACCTATGACAGTATGACGATCAATGCAGACGACGACACAACCGGATAATCATAATGTCATTAATGACTTAATGTACCTTTTCAGGCTTTGGTTGATCGCCTGATGACATCTTGATACTGGTTGTATAACAGCTGATGCTTGATGTTAAGTCGTAGGATGAAAAAATGGTATTCCAATCACTAAATTTCTTTTGAGAACATTATAATATAGTGAGGGCGTACGCACTTCGTTAATGACTACTTCGTTTGCGTTTACCCACCAACAACAGCGGTAGTTATGGAAACCAATTTTCAGCGCCACAGTGCGGGAGAAATAATGATATGAGATGTGCGCATCGCGTTTCAGACAAACGGTCACTCATCTATACGAATAAAATGAAATATGAATATAACTTTATTATAAACTGAAGTTATTGATTTTGACGCAAATACGAACAGAAAAAAAACATAAATTACGACTCGACATAAGAACACGACGCGACATTCTATGAGTGGTTCTCTGATAAAACCATAGAACTAGAATAGAAGTATCTTCTAGTTCTATCGATAAAACGGGTTCAGAGTAACGATTGTTTTCTAGGCTCACTTTTTCGTTCAATAAATTTCAAATTCAAATAAAAAAAAAAAATTATGAATATTTATTGATGTACCGGCCCATGTAAATGATGGTTATATGACGATGAAACCGCACATAGGACGCGCTTCGTTCTTTTTCTGCAGAAATGGAGACGAATCAGCTGCTGAGACTAAGAGAAGGCTAGATGTACAGACGCGGTTTACGTTCCATCCCACTAGTATTATATTTCTTCTTGTTCTGTGGTTCTTCTCTTTCTGTTCTTCTTCTTCTTCTTCTCGCTTAGCGCGCGCTTCGCGTTCTTTTTGCGCAGAAATGGGCGCGCGCTCAGCGTGCTGCAGCTAGAGAAGGCTTAGATTGTTATCCAGACCGGTTTATCGTTCCCATCCATCAGTATCTTCATATTTCTTTCTTGATTCTTGTTCTTGTCTTGCTTTTCTTCTTCTTCCTCTTCTTCTTCTTTTTCTTCTTCTTCTTCTTCTTCTTCTTCTTCTTCTTCTTCTTCTTCTTCTTCTTCTTCTTCTTCTTTTTCTTCTTCTTCTTCTTCTTCTTCTTCTTCTTCTTCTTCTTCTTCTTCTTCTTCTTCTTCTTCTTCTTTTTCTCCCCTTGCTCATCTTTCTTCTTTGTCAATATCTAAAAAAACTAAACCTCAAAATCTAGTGCTCTAAAAGAAAGCACGTTTCCAAAATCTAGGAAATTTTACGATGTAATAAAGTAATTAGAAGGAGGGTAATTAACTGGTAAAATCATTACTTATCATATTGAATCACATCAGTGTATGGCGCATACCAAGTAACTTCCATAGGAAATATATTTGTAACAATATACATTTAAAATCGAGAGTATAAAATGAAAACTAGTTTGAGAAAGGAGAATAAAAGAGTATAGGAGGATCATAATTAGAGAAAAGAAGAGCTGGGGGAGGTGGCGGAGGAGGAAGAGAAGGAGGAAGAGGAGGAGGAGGAAGAGGAGAAGGAGAAGCAGCAAACGGAAGAGGATGAGGAGGATGAAGAGGAGGAGGAGATCGAAGAAGAAGAAGAAGAAGAAGAAGAAGAATGAAGAGGATAAGGAAGAGGAGCAAGATAAAGAGAAGGCAGAGAATGTGGGAGCGTAGGGAGAAATAAATAGAAGTGGAAGAGGCGAGGCGGAGTGTGGAAGGCCGATCGGGTGGGTGGCAGATTTAGGAGGGGAACAGAGGGAGGGGGTTTCGTTAATAGTCATAGTGTCCAGTTTTTCCATTCTCTCTGTGCAATTAGCGCATGCCTATCACACAAACGGCATGCCAAAGACCATCGTGTGAAAAAGATATACAGTTTAACTTTAGCTGTTTTGTCTCCGTATTTCATCAAATTTAGTCGTCTACTTAGGATCTATACTATGGGAGTATTATTTCGGCTCTATTATCACAAAAATCTCCGATTCTCACGCGGCACATGCATATACGGTCAGGGGCGTAGCTAGGGTGAAATGGATGTGTACGCACACAGGCGGGGGTCCTCCCCCATAAATTTTTGAGAATGTAGATCGCAGGAGATGGTATTTGAGGCACTTTTGAGTAA